GATAAACACTAATCCCTTTCTTGATAACCAGTTATATTTTATTTTGTAATAATAACAAAAAGTATAAAAAGAAATATAATTGACTATATTTTTTAATATAGTTGACTATAATTACTAAAAAGCAAATTTCTCAAAAGTAACTAAATTTCTCACAAGAATTTCATAGAAACTATCTATCTAACACATGCATAATCTACCCCCAAAAACAATCCTACTCTAATCAGATAAGTCCTAAAAGACAACTAACTATTCCATTGCTTCTCCTATCAAAGTGTATGTTGTCCTCTTAAACTTGACAAAGAGGCCTGTTATCGGAAATGAAGGCATAAATTGCGGAAAAATACAACTTCCAAGTGAGATTTCTCTTTAATAAAATGGCTGTTTGAAACTCGATTAATTTACGGTAAAAAAAAAAATCTCGATTAATTCTATAAGTTTATACAAACGGCCTCTTCTATTGTATTGAATAAATCTCTACTCTTCCCTTATAGTTTACAAACATAATTTATTGAAATTGTTTACACTTAAATAGTAATTGTAGATTAATTTAAACCTTGTGTTTCCATGAAATTGTTTTAATTACTATAAAGGATACATATTCTATAATTTTTAGGCTGAGTTCAAAACGACCAAGAGAGGTCTACACAGCAACATTAGCAGGAATATTCTTCAATAATGATATCTATCCAACATGGTCCATAATTTTTTTTTCCTTTTTTTATGGGAGAATGATGATAAAATAATGGTTGTAGAGTATGCGGGCAATGACACTAATTTTCCCAACTTGAACATTTTTAAAATACTCAAATTATCTGAAATGTATATTCTGATTTCCACGTTGTTGGGTGGTGAGGATTGATTTTTAATGAATGTTATCAATTGTCATAGTTTGTCTAAGTTATATGGAGAAGTATAATTACAGTTGGTTACGGTAAAATAGATTTTACAAGCTTGCTTCTTTCTTCTTATTCTTCTTCTTTCTTTTCATTTTTTCTTTTAATGAGTTGCTCAATGAAAAGTAATTAAGTTGGTAACCATTTTCAATTTTTAAAGAAACTCCATCCACATATAATATAACTTGATAGTTTTTATTAAAAAATACCACTAAAGCACCTAACTTATTTACTACTAGAGTTGTAATGTTATACCAGATGAACACACTTTGGTTTAGCATGTTGCTTAACATACTCATTAAATAATAATTATTTTTTATATGAAATTAAAAATAAATAAATTTAAATATACAATTATACAAATATAAAATGTATGAACTGACTGAATTCGATATACTTATGTTATAATAATTGAAATGAAACAAAACGTTAAAAAGTATATTTCACCAAATATATATCAATTATTTTCTACAAGTTAATTTGAGTTCATATTTTTATACAGTAATTAATGGCTAGCATGACATTTAACATTATTATTGCAAGTTGAAACCATGAGTTAAACATTATTCAAACATAAAAATCCAAAGTTATCAATATATATATGTATATGAGAATGGTTTTAGTTAATTTAAACTGCACACAAAAAATCTAATTATAACCATACCAAAATATCTTTAATTAACCAGACTCAAAAAGCTATTTTTGAAAATATATATAATCAAAAGGTAAGGGAAAAAAAAAAGGATGTTCAAGAGGAAATTGAAATTGAAATTGACCTTTTTCCCTGTCTTATCAGCCCCTGGAATGTCAACCACATTCCGGTTACTTTCATCTCTCCTGCACAGCTCAGCAGCTCCTATATATTTTCGGAAATGCAGCGATCAGTTTTCCATCCTTAAAGAATCTCACTCGCAACCCCAAGAGTCCAGACCCAGAGGAAGAGCAAAGGAATCATTGCAGGATCAACCCACCACAACACCATCATCTTCATCACCTATATTTTTAGCCATGGCGGATGATCAGTTCAATTCAAGCACTGGTTTGTGGGATTCCTCTTCCAGGAACCGCTTCGATGCTGGATCGTCTTCTTCCTCTTCTGGGCTCAATATGGTGGGGAGCTTTGGGTGGCCGGTGGAGATGGTGGATATGAAATCAAGACCTTCTATGGATTACGGGTCGGTTTCTGGGAGTTCGGGTTTTCATGATACCCTGAAACTCCAAGCTGGTGGATCTGATCCCATCGCTACTGATTTTCAGGTGATGGGTTTGGGGCTCTCTTCACAAACCTTGGACTGGAACCAAGCGGCCTTGCTGTAACTTCTCTACTCTGTTTGGTTTGCTTCATTCGATTTAATATATTCTTGAAAAAATATACATAAAATCATCTCAAGTTCTTGAATTTTTTTGTTGTTCGGCAGTCGCGGGGATAAATCGGCAAGTGGGTTCCCGTCGATGATCCAAGAAACTGGCGGTGGTGGTATGGGATCTTCGTCGCAAGTTCAGTGGAGAACAGAGAAAATGTTTTCTGGGGTGGCATCGGATTCTCCCGTGAACGAGTTCAAGCAAATCAATCGAGGGTTCTCTCTCGATCAATCCTTTGGAAGCTCAAGCGACAGCACTTCTAGTTTCCAGATGGATTCGTCGGCGTTGTACGGCAGCCCGTCGACTATTCTCCAAGGACTTCTGGGATCGGAAAATCAGGCGCAGCAATCTACGTTCGAAACCCGTTCGATGAATTTCCAATATGGAACAGGGTATTCCATGAACACTAATGAGTTCCTTCCATCTTGGTCTAAAGTCCCTCAGTTCCTAAGAACTTCGCCTCCCAAACAGTCTCATCACAGCCAGTTGCACTTCTCCAACAATGCTCCTTTCTGGAACCCGTCAGCAACCTCCATGAACGACGCTCGGCCCGGCTTCTTCCCGACCCAATTTACCGCCCCGAATTTTGAAGAGAAACCCAAGGTAATGTATTCAAGAATCATATATTGACCATGCCCTCTTCGAGCTGGTGACACAATGAGTTGGACCTGCTAAGACGGCTGAAACCCGCACCTTAGCAGGTTCAGCTCGTGCCATCATAATCGCTACTCCGAGGGGGCATGGTCATGCACACTGCAATTTTTGACAATTAGGGTTTAAGAAATTAATCTCTTGGAGTTTCAATTTTGTGAGCAGAATATATCCGAAGTTCGGGACACATCAAGCACTACTACGAAGAAAAGTGGCAACGAACTTGCAACCAAAAGGACTCGAAGCGAAGCGGGTCCATCACCTTTGCCAGCTTTTAAGGTACAATGAGATGATAGGGAAGCTTTAAGCTTTTTCAAATTTCATCTTTTTGGGTTGGACATGTATGGGAATTCATATAACTTTGATTTGTATTCATAGGTGAGGAAGGAGAAGATGGGGGACAGAATCACTGCACTCCAACAATTGGTTTCACCTTTCGGAAAAGTAAGTAAATTTTCTGTTCAGTTCTGCTTTACTTTCTTAAAGGGAAAAGGCTGAGACATATGATTTTGAATCTAATCCTTTTTTATTTTGGTTTTCATCAATCATGTGTAGACTGATACAGCCTCGGTGCTCTCTGAAGCGATTGATTACATTAAGTTTCTCCATGACCAGGTCAATGTAAGTCCCATATAGTCTCCTGTCATTGCCATACAACAAAAATACATATATATAGACAACCATTTCTGAATTATGATACATAATGTTCTCAGGTTTTAAGTACTCCATACATGAAAAGTGGGGCTTCCATGCTGCAGCATCAACAGGTACACTATTGTCTTCTTCCCTCTCTCTTCTTTTTTTTTTTTTTTTTTAATTATTCTTTTCTGATTAAATCAAAATATACATGAATCTCATTGAAATTGATGAAGAAGTATTAAAATGCAGCCTTCTGATAAGTCTAAGGATCCTGAAGGACCAAAGCAAGATCTTAGAAGCAGAGGGCTGTGTCTGGTACCGGTATCGAGCACGTTTCCCGTGACACATGAGACAAGTGTTGATTTTTGGACCACCACATTTGGAGGAACATTCAGGTAGAAGGGAAAGGGAAATGGGATTGACTGAAATGAAATCATGACATCAAGAATTGATTCTACCAGCAACTGGCAAAGTGTGAATGTGTGTATCCTATCAAAAACCCTCCCCGGCCATGCCAAGTTGGGGATGATATGAGGAAGAGGTGGGAAAAGAACAAGAAACAAGGAAGGCCACATATTGTTTTGTCCAGGATGGAAAAGAGAAGAGAATTTGAAGCGGAAAGAAAAGGAAATGACCTCCTTCAAAGAAGAAGAAGCTATTGTTGGGGCCAGCAACAGGCAAATGATGCTGGTTTTGGGCAAATATTTGGGACCACTAAGGAAGCATGTTAATTATTTGTAATAATTGAAGAATTATGATTAGGGTTTGGTAAAGTTTCTGATTTTAGGGAAAACTTTTCAAGATTAGTTTTTAGGGGAACATGTGTTATAAGTGAAGTTAACACAAGAAAGAAAGAAAGATGATAGAAGGAGCTTTTGTATTCTCTATTGCCAAATTGTGAATAGAAGTGGCAACTTGCTTTAGTTTGTGAGGAAAGGAAAGAAGAAAGATGAAAGAAACTTGAAGGAATAATTGAAGCATTTGAATGGGGGAGGGAGTGTGGGGATGTCAATGTGATTGGAAATCTCACTTTTGGTATGTTTTTGTGTTTTGGAATATGTTAGTGGGAAGTCAGAATGGCCCACACATCTCCGCCTTTCAGAATTAATTTTTTTTTTTAATTTCATATTTTTAATAATATTTTTATTTTATTTTATTTTAAGAAAAGAAAATTAGTAGTAGTATACATAGAGAAGCTCGACGTAAACCAACTTTTTTTTTCTTATGCACTCGGTCTGACATAAACTTCTTTTCTATGGTATAAATGATATTTTGAATTCTCTTAATCTTTAATTTTTATTGTTTTGTTTTATTAAAAAATTAAATATTTTTATATTATATAAAAAAAAAAACCACTTAAAAGTATGTGTGGTAATAACAAGTAATATAGATTTGAGGTCGTATATGGT